TGAAACCAACCAATGTACTTTTAAGAAAATCCCACTAGGGAAATACTGGAAGTCCCCCCAGTACTGCGTGGCTGTCGGAGACCAGCTTGCAGTGGTTGATGTGAGCAATCTCTAGATATGTGTGTTTGTGGTCCGTGGCGAGGAGGGAAGAAAAGGGAAGAGAAATTAGGAAAAGCGAAAGGGGAAGAAATAAAGGCACAGCAAGATATTAGCTGTTGTCCTCTAGAAATGGTGAGGTTTGGCTTAAATCCCACCTAAGTCCTTGAAGTGTCCTGTGTGTGATCACAATACATGGCTGAGGTTTTCTCCTGTGAATTGGTGCTGGCTGCTTTGGCCCTTCACAGGATTAATCCTTAGATAAAATTAGAAGCTGGCACCATTTTTCAGCCTATGCTACTAAAAATACATTGCATTGATCCTCTCTCCATACTTTGGCATGCATGGGAGCAGAAAAAGAGTGGGAAGCTATTGAAACTGAGGCATAACAACATGTTCTGAAGTTGGACTTCTTCCGTGGCGATCAGCTGTGCAGCTCTTAAGGAGGCCTGGGAACACAATGGGTTTGGAGTCGTAGGAGTTTTGCGTGGCTCAACATGTAAGAGCAGCTCCACAGACATTATTTGTCCTTCGGAAATGGAAACTGTACGTACACCAGTTATCCGAGAAATCACCTGACTTTTGTCTGGCATTTGCGAGTTCTTATTGCTGTGGTAAATTCAGAAAGTTGCAGCTGGCCTCAGTACTCACAGGGATGAAGAGCCAATTTGCAGGCGTTCTCAGCTCCGTTCAATTTGCGATGCAAGGGAGAAGGCCGAAAAAGTTGTTTATTAATTGAATCCTAATCTTCTATTGCTTTACCTAGCATGCATGTTGTCTAATACAAAGCTCATCTAAAGGCTTGAAAATTGAAACTCCTAGCGAGAAGGATGCCTTTGTCGTTCCCATAAAAGTCGTTGCTTGCCACGTTTGAAGGGAAGATCTGTACGTGCTATTTAACTGACGCCTTGTGGACACCGCCTGGGACCTGGATCGTGACCAGATGAGCGCTACAGAAGCAGCTGCTCCGCTCCCACCACATGTGCCCAGTGCTGTTTGTTACCGACCGCTGCCAGACTTCGGCAGTCCCCTAGCATAGCAACAGAACGATGTGTCTGAGCACTCTTCTTGGGATTCAGTGCAAAGTCCAGAAAAATGGTTCAAACAAGTTTTTGTGGTCCCTGACTTACTGCTTAAGCAGATGAGGTTCGTTTGCACGGCCTACAGTACCTGTTCTGCCTGAGGGTGCCAGCAGGCAGCTGGCGGGGGAGGAGGAGGGTGCAGAAGTCTTGTTAATGATGATCTGAACACAGTCCGTTGATAAATCATTTAATTGTTAGGCAAAAGACTTCTGGATCCATCCATGGTAGTGGAAGATGCTCTTACATTCTGTTTCTCATTGTGGCCCTCTTACCACGTTGGTCTGTTGGAAGAGCACTCGTGCAGGCGTGCTCCTGGAGTTCTAAGCAAAAATTAGCTACATTGCACTAGTTGCAACCCTTTAGCTGGACTGATGTTACGGCTCGCACAGATATGGGAAAACTTGCATGCACTCCTCTGCAGACAGACCAGGGAGGGCAATGAGGAGTTATTTCCTGGGGGACCTGAATTCAGAACAGGCTCAGGAGTTGGTGCAGGTGCAAGTTTGCACCAGTGGGCATGCACCAATACAACTCTCTTCATGATGTTCTGCTTTTATTTATAGTACTTTATAGTAATTGAAACACATTCCTGATAAACAAAAACTTAAGTTGTAATTTTATACTGAGCATCATATATTATTTTGTTCCCATATATTCTTTTGTTTTGTGGGGAACAAAATCAGTAAGTACTAAACTAAATCAGTAAGTGCAGCTTGATAAGTAATAAGCTAATGGAATTTGGTTGAAGTACTATGTTTATTTGTTTTTCAGTAGGGTTTCTAGTTGGAGTGATCAAATAACAAGACAAAGGTAGAAAATACTTATTTAACCTTACTGTTGGTTTTGGTAACTATTTGATAAATTATCAAATTAAAAAAAAAAAGCTGTTGACTGAATTATTTTACTAAGACCAGTTAATTAAACTGACATTTTAAGTAGATGTTATTTATGTAGCTCTGATTCCTGGATCTTTTCTGTTGTCCCTGCTTCGCTTTCTTCATTTTATCTTTTTCTTTCCTACAGGAGAATATAGCATATACCTCTGCATCATTTGCAGTTCCTTTCTCTTTTCACCTCCTATCTCTTCCCTTTTCTCCCCACTCTTCTTCACCTCCGCCCCTGCATCTTCTGTTTCTCCTTTCTTCTGCCACTTCTTGATTCTGTCTGTGTACCAAACTCCTCTTTTCAAATTCATCTCATCAGTGTCTCTCTCTGCCTCACATGACCGTCACTCACCCACTCAAACCAGAGCATCTGTGCACAGTCTTGGAAACATTCAGGTACTTCAAACCTAGAGAGCTACTGTATTGGCATGAATATAAGGCAAGAAAAAAATATCCACAAAGCATACGTTAGAATAGCCCTTGGTCTGGCTTTGCAACCTGTTGTGTGTCAGCTCTGCATGCTCCCTGCCAGTGCATTGCTTGCCTGCCAGACTTCTCTCTGTTCAGCGTTGTATGTGAAACTCCTTGTTTCCTGGGACCTGGTCCAGTCCCGCTGCCTGCCTGCCCTGCCTGCCCTGCTCCAGGTGCTCCAGCCACCTCTGGCCACCAGACACCATCCCTGGGGCTCTGGAAAGGGAAACATGCTATGTCCATAACAAGCACAGTCTTTTCAAACAAAGACCAGCTGTCTGTTCTAAGTACTTCCCGTAAAAATACATAGATAAATGTCTCTCTGTTTTACTTAGGCTACTATGGTAAAAATTACTGGCTTCAGAGTAATCAGTACAAAACAAGTAGATTTTGCTCAGCATAGGTGATCAATACTGTCCGCCAAGTTGCTGGAAAAGGGATGGGTGTTAAAAATCCCGCCACGTTGTTCAAAGATTTGAGGATTTTTCCCATTTAATGAGTTTGACGATTGTGCCACTCCTGCCAAACAAGTTCCTGTTTCCAACCTTCCCCTTTTTCAGTTTTATTTTGTATAGGTCATAAAGGATTTCTGATGCAAGCTTCCTTAACTGATTTTCTTTCTATAGCTTTCTACTTACAAAACCCGTAAGTTGACTTCTCTGCACAAACAATGCCTTTCATGCAGCGTGTAAGCTGTTTTTTATGGCAGTCATATTTTGTCATGCAAGACACAAAATAAAAACATACATTACTTTGTGTCATTCAGCTGGTTCAATAAGGCTTCTATTGCGAACTCACGGATAGGTGGATCATTTCACTTCTCTGAATAAGTTATGTCATTGGAAAAGTTAATTTCATTTCAGAATTAAAAGCTAATGAATGGCTAAAAGTTTCCGTCTATAAAATATGTGATTATTATTTAGAACAAGGCAATGCTGGTGTGAATTAACAGGCAGTGTTAACAGGCTACGAATAATTTTGTTAAGAAATTAGTTACTTTAACTAAAATGTCAAAGCTTGCATTTGGCACAATGGTCCGATGCCATAGCAACAGGTGACAATTACGAGCATCTTCCAGGAGTTGCCCACATTCCTTTTCCCTTGCCTCAGCCTGTCCATGTCCATGGTGCAAGAGCTGGATTCTGACCTGTTGCCTAACCTTCTTGGAAAGAAACATACCCCCTTCTGCAAAGTAAGAAGCTCCAGGTCTGGATCACTTGAAAGAAACCCAAAAGTCGACCCCTGTGGTGGACATGCTTATGTGCTGTTACTGGAAGAGTAGTTTTGCCTCAAACTGTATTTCAGATCAGACTGACATAATATGGGAGTATATTTATGGATTATATTTTAATATGAAATAGTTTCCTGTATCTTTTTTTTTTTAGATTCAACTATAGATTGACGTAGTCAGTGAGGTTTTTAACAGTTTAAATGCAGTTTTAAAAAAACCCTCAATAACACTAAATGTATTAAGCCAAATATAGCTGTCAAAATTGAAATATTCAGGTTGCAAATGAATGCATTCAGCTGGAGAAACCACAGTGTACTCATGTTTGTACTTTAATTCCAACATGAGACATAAGTCTCAGAAACAGGATACCCATTTTTGTTTTTAATTTGTAGCTAACTGTTGCTTTATTTACCAGGTGTTGAGATTTTTTTTTTTCTTAAGTGCTTGTATTTTTATGTATCACACTTCTTTTGTGGTACTTGTTATTGTAGTATTGGAGAAAAAAGTATACAAGAAAATTGTAGCATTACAAGGTCTGTTGTACCCTCCGTCTGCACTGACTCTATCAATGGAAATTTGTTTCCAAGCTCTCATCTTTTTATGCTAGGTCTCAGGAGCTATTGTGGCAGTTCTAAATTAGGATTTTCATTGTTGCTGCCAATTCTGATGTTGCTGGGTTTTTTGTTTGGTGACCTTGGTCCTGTTGAGTGGCTTCAGCTCTAACTCCAAAGAATGTGCCACATCCGACTTACCTCTAAAAGTATAAGAACAAAAAGCATGTAACTCCTTAATAATTTAAGGATAAGTCTACTGGAACCACAAAATGTGAAATATGTATGTTTTAACTTGTTAATTAAGCAAGCAATAATTGGAGTCTTAAAAGAATCAACTGAAATCTAACATTGTACACTTGTACTATATTGTAGTCTTGTAATTTCCAGCACTGTTTGCTGAATTCTTCACATACTTTTCCTCTAATCAGCCTGTAAATACCATGTGGTACAATTAGATTAATATACTTTCATTTATTGCAGCTACCTGTTAGAGGAAAATTTTGTACTTCTGCCTTTATATTTGAATGACTATATGAATGACTACAGAATTCTGTACTTTCATTGAGGCGGCCTCAACTTACTTAAGTGAAGAGCAATCCATTTAATGATGCAGGGAAACTTTTATTCTCTTTATAAGTTTCTGTAGTGCTTAATTATTTTTTTTTCTCTTTTTTCTTCTTAGATGATGAGTACCAATGGAAGGGGCCCTTCTACTTCATCCAAGGAGCAGATCCTCAGTTTGGACTGATGAAAGCTTGGGCAGTGGGAGACACTAACAATGGAGATGATGAATGGGGAGAAGAAATCAAATTAGCAGAGCAAGCAGTGCAGGCCATTAACAAACTAAATCCTAAACCCAAGTTCTTTGTGTTGTGTGGAGACCTTATCCATGGAATGCCAGGTAAGGCCATTAAAAGTGTAGAATGGGGATTGTAACTCCATTTTCGTTACATTTCAGATTGGCAACAAGGCTAATTTTAATTTTCTTCACAATATTCTTTCATAGGTTCTAGTATGGTACTGTTTCGGTGTTTGGGAAAAAAGTGTGCTCTGTAGATGATTCTTGAGATGTTATTCCGATTTCTTCATCTGACTTCCTGGATCATTCATTTTAGGGATGTATTTTTGTTAGTTGCTTTCTTTTCGGTGGGCCTGAGGAAATTTTCTTTGACATGAAAGTCCTAAGAACACACATAGCTAAACAAATTGCTTTGAGAAGTCACATAGGAACTCTAGCCTCTGGGGAAAAACACTGCCAAGAAGAGAACAAAAACTAGCTATGGCTTTTTGAGTACCTAAAGTGGGTGAAGCTCAGAGAATTCTCTGGCTTTCTAATGCTTAATAAATTCACCTGCTTCAGTATTTAAATTCTGAAAATCCTCAAAGTCTGCAAATTCAAGTTTTAGCATTCTGTCCTGTTGCTGTGGGACTCAGTGTGTTTCTGCGTACAGTCAGAGGAAGAACAACGGACCATCTAGGAAGGTGGGTTACAGGTTTGACAGTTACAACTTTAAAACAGACTGGTAATATTTTCTATTTTAAGAAGATAAATGCTCGTCTTGGAAGTGAAAGAAAAAGTGATGTTCCCAGTTGACAAGTGGTCTGAGAAGCAGATCTAAGCACAGTGTCTTAAGTTTCTTAGCCTTGATAAGAAGCAGAGCTGCAGACAGCCTTAGCTGTGTACCTGGCAGCACAACAATCCACCAAGTGAGTGTGCAAACGCAGAGTCCCGTCTGCTTTGTGCTGCGCTCTGCTTTGCACTCCACTTGCACCTGAGCTGGTGCTTCCCAGCTCCTTTGCACAGCAAGGTTTTGAGCGCGTTAGAGACCTCTCACTAATTCCTTCCTGTCCCGCAAAGTGGATTTTAAAACTTTAGCTGTCAAATTGATTGACTTTATTTATAGGCTACAGACTTTCTTTTGACCGGAACACAATTTTAGTGATAGAGTGGGAAAGTGTAAAAAGTGACACATTTAAGCTTGATTGAGGTGTAACGCCTCAGCAGCTTGATCATAATGTAAAGTCTGCCATTAAGCAGTTGGTTTATTGGTTTATGTTCTCTCATTAATTCCAGAAGTGCAGGTTTATCCCAGAATCATAAAACAATCTCTTCCTAAGAATCATCTGGCCTTCCTGTAGCAGAGTTTTAATAAGTATTCTGATTAGGAATTTTAATTTATGTGAGTGTTCCAAATATGTTATCTTCAGTATCCCTTGTAAGAGGAAGAAAATTCAGGACAAATGATAGATGTTCTACATCCTATTGAAAAGGTTCTTTCACTCACAAAGTTAAATGATACAGGAAGCTCAGTTAATTTCATTTTACCTGGATATTTCTCGAAGGCTAATAAAAACAATGCAAAGTTCCGAGTACTTTTGTCTATATTGACTTTAAATAAGATGATTCTAAGGCTTTTCTGTTGATAGAGAGTAAGTGCGAAGTACAGAGTGCCAGCAGTCTTCTGACTTCCACTGGGTGCTGAATGGCTAGATGCAAATAAGAATTGTGTGTGGCAGTTTTTATGGGTTTTTTTCTAGTAATGGAACTAGAAGTCATTATTGTCCCTTTTACCAATGCACGTCTTCGACGTTGGTAATATTTTAAATACAAACCTGCCAGGGTTTTACAAAACATTATCATATATTCATTTTGCTAACAAAGATGTAAAATAAACTGAATGGATTGTACTGCTGAGATCACGTTCATTGTGTGATGTACGTGCTGTGCATCGTGTAAATATTTGAAGCTGCCTAGTGCAATTTCCAAGAAATTGCAAGAAAGAGCAGTTTGTTACTCAATGATCTTAAGGGTCTTTTCTAGCCTAAATAATTCTATGATTACCTCACTTGAGCTACCATATTTTAATTCATGTAATAATTTCTTGTTGATTAAAATTATGTTAATACTTTCAAGCCTGTGTTATCATGTACTTATATAAAATAGTTAAGGAGATGTACTACTAAAAGGAATTTTAGAATATTCAACTGGAACAATTACTTATTTCATTACTGCCTTTGTATTTATACAAATGGCTTGTAATGCCATGAGTTGGTAAACGTATAAGTACAATGTCACAATTAAGTTGTACACATAAGTACAGTTTTACAGTCAGCCATTTGTCTGTCTGTCTAAACTGATGGCAGAGATGAAAGTGAATCGCTTTACAGTGCGGGTACCTGTGGATTAACGCTCTGTAACTAGTTGCCTGCAAAGGCAGGGAGACGTGTGATATGGCAGGGGAGGCAGAAATGCAGAGTCAGAAAAATACTTCATAGAAGATAAATCTAAGTCTGTGATTTCAAAAGAATTTGAAACAACACTTTCGTTTAAACAATGAATGTGTATTTTGGAAGTGAAATAATAGTTTTTTCAAAGGATTTTTTCCTACCTTTTCCTCTTGCTTACTTGGCTTCTGGAAGAGAAACTTCTCCAAAACACAAAAAGAGTTAAAGAAAATGTGAAGAAAAGATATTTTAAAGCAAGACAACTCGCATCCTGTTTTAAAAATGTCTTATCAAGATACTTATTGACAATTTCTTTGGTTTGGCTTGTTAATGAGACATTGCAAGACAATGGCATTAATAAGCCAAATCTTGGCCTTGTAAGAACTTATTTGCTGCATATTCTTTTATCAAAAGAGAAATCCTCTGATGTTAGAAATGAAAACTTTCCACATTCCTTGCGGTGAAAGTTTTTGGAAAACTTGGAAGTACTGCAGTCACATTCTCAAGTTTTCTGCCATGCTAAACTCTAGGGACTGAGGTGACTTCCTTCTCACAGAGGAATGAATTCTTACATTTCTTCTCTTACACGGGTATGTGTTTGAACTGCTGCGGTATTTCTGCACCAGTTCTGAGTCGGCTAAAAAGCAGGAGCCATTATATTCCGCATTCATATGGCACAAGTCTCTCTCCACTAATTCCAGTACTAATACTGTGCTTGAGATCTCCTGCTTCTTTACATAATCCATTTAAACAATTCTAACTTAAAGTGAAGACACAATGAGATAAAAAGCTGTCAGCTACTGATTAAGCTCTTAAAAAGTTTTATAAAGAGTTCCATTTCAAAATTGTAAGAGTAATATTGAAATTTGCCAGCACTTTCATTATTTGTTACAACAAAAATTTGAAATTGTAAGATTATTTTCGGCAATACTACATTAATGAAAAAGACCAAACAGAGAATGTAGGAATTTTTATAGCAAATAGCTTTTCAGATCATTTGAACATGTAAATGTTTGCAGAATTGAAGACCAATAGTAGTATTTCTTTCCCTGGAGTAAGTTAAGGATTTTGACTGTTCTAGCCAAGGATGTTTAGACCTACGTAATGTGTGTCTCTAGGAGAGTGGTGCTGCGATCATTTCGTATTTCTCCACTTAGGAGCCTCTCCAAGAATAATTGCTGTGTCAATTTCCTTATGTTAGTTCAATAAATGAAGGATTAAAATTTCATTTTTTTCAGTAGGCAAAAATCAGAAATGACATGCGACGAGACATTGATTTAAGTTTAGCAATTGTGAATTGGGCTTGTACATGTATCTTATTGTAATGTCTTAAATTGCCTTTTAAATCATTTGTATGTATCACCTGTATTAAAACTGAAAACATCAGCGTTAATGAAAGTCTATCACAGTTACTATTGCAGCATGGTTATTGAAGAGAGCTGTGATCAGCTGAGTTCAGCTGTATTTTACAATCCATTGGCCAACGTCTATCAAATTCTTTGGATTAGTCTGCTTTATAATCAATGCCTGTCAATTAAAAGGGGTGAGGAGGAGCCCCAGATCTTCCTCTTCTCTTAATACATTTTATTGTGGAGTACTAAGTGTAAAGTTTATGATGACTGTTTTAAAGCATGCACTGTAGCCGTTTAGCTGAAGCAATGTTGAAGCCTTTTGCAAAGGAACTCCAAGAAATCTCAGAATTCCAGCAGCTAGAAGTGCTGAACAGAATCCTGATCTGCTGGGAAGCAATCAGGCACAGCACTTGGAATCCATTACAGATGTCATTAGGCAACGAAGTAATCAGCGCCACTATCTTGGTATTTAGCTGCTGATTAAAAGTAGTTTGTACTCTGAAAATTATTTTCAGAAGTTTTTCTTGATTACATAATCAAGAATAGGATATCTATTCCTGGTAATGCTAATATTGTGGTACATAACCTTATAGTGTTACTGAAAATAACGTCTATACCCTCGATACTTACACCTAGATACCCCATGATAATGAAAGACTGACTTCTGAAGACATTTGTGTGCATTCAGTTAGTGTACCATAAGTTAGTATGGCAAAACTGGTAATCTCCAAAGTGCAAAATATTGTTGATTGGATAATGTGTTTGTTTTACTGCATTTTTCCAAAACTCTGGAAATTTATTTTAAAAGTGTTTTTTCTCATATCAAGTTGGAACCTTCTGTTTTGTTTAATGACAACTTCCCACATTGTTCCATTAACCAGTACCCTTTGAGCCCAGCGGTCCAGCCAGTTTTTCACCCACCTAGACTGCCACGTCCTAACTCCACAACCTGTCGATGGTTAGAGAGGCGCCTCACGGTGACATCAGCCTGCTCGCTCAGTACTCCTGGATGCTTCCCATCAGGCTCCATGGATGTGCTTGGGTTGGAATTTTTCAGGAGGTACTTGGCCAAACCCTGTTCTGCTGCCAGTATTTCCTCTGGGAGAAGGTTTCAGTGCAGACAGGCAAAAGCAGCGCTGAGTACCTGTCCCATGTCACTGCCTCACTCGGCAATGAGCCTGTGTTTTATTTGGTTATTATTTTATTGCTAAAGCAGTAGCAGAAGCTTTTGCTGCCTATCATGCCCCTTGCTAGTTTCAGCCCTCGGTGAGCTTTGGTTTTCCCACACCAGCCCTGCATGCCCAGGTACTTTTTCAATATTATTCTTTTCAAGTCCGTCTTTGCTTCCACCTCCCTTTTACGCCCTTTTTCCATCAGCATTGAGGCGTGAGGTCCTCATTTAGCCACATCGTTCCCCTTGATAGTCTACTTTTTCTTCCCCCTCTTCCCCCCCAGTATCAGGAAGGACCATTATGTGTTGGGAGGAACTTGTCTTTGAAGACATGCCAACCCTCAAACTCTGTTGCCTTTCAGAGCTCCCTCCCACAGGGTCCTACAGACCAGTTCCCGAAAAGGTGGTCGTCTGTCCCAAGGCCCCAGGTCTGCTCTCTGCCTTCCGGACCCCCTCGGGACCTTCAGCTCTGCTTTGGTGGCTGCTGGGGTTAACGCATCCCCAGCACTGGTGTCTCTGTGAGCAGCAGGACGAGGGCCCTGTGGGTGATGAGGTTGTCCCAGCCTTCTTCCTGGATCGCTGTCAGCAGATCGCAGGGAGGGCAGTCTCCCGTAAGAGCCAGGGTCTGTGACATGGAAACTTTTTCAAGTTGCTTATAGAAGACTCAGTGCACTTCCTTGCCCCTGTTGGGTAGTCAGTAGCAAAACCCCACTCTTGGTGCCTGACCTCTCCTCTGATCCTGACTTACAAGCTCAGCAAACCTGGTGCCTGTCGCATGGAACAGCTCCCTCCATACGTTGAGAGCAAGCTCCTTTGCCTTCCTTCTTGCCCATCTTTCCTGTTTCAGTTTAACATGAAGCATTGTGCTTCCTTCTTCATCCCATACCTTGAGTGTAGGTTGGTACCAGGACACAGCTCCTGCATTTCAACTCCTTTTGTTACAAGAGCCGAGAATTCGGCTGTTTGCAGCCAACATCACCCTGCTGAAGCCACGGAGAAACACTGACTTGTGAAGCTGAGAATCTAGCAGCTATTTTTATGTGGCTGAATTCCTTTGGAGGAAATAATTTAAACTGCATTTTTTAATGATTCTCTGCTGTCAGTAACTTGAAGACATCAGTTCTAGCCAGCAAAGTCCTTTGTGTGATGGAGCTTCAAACCAGGTGTTTAATTATTTTTCATTAATTGCTCTGCTTACATGGGTGAAAGAACAAGAAAGACAGCAAGTGTCCTGCAAACTTTACTTAGCTCTGACTGTAATAAAACGTAGCTGTTTAGAGACTAAATGAAACAAGACTTGTCTAATAATGTGTATAATCAAAAAACCTGATAGAACTTGATTAAGCTTGATCTGTTAGCGGTGTGATAATGGATCAGTGAGCAAGTAATGTCTATGCTTGCAGTTTTAGATTCATTTGTGTGTGTATGTTAATTAGGAGAAATCAAACCCACTAGATTGGGAGTATTATGGCACTTGAAGTACACTGTGAATACTTGTACTAATTCCTTTAGTTAAGTGAAGGCATAATCTCTAATATACACGTTTCCTGCCCAGGTCATTCAGTGCTAAATAATCTGACATCTGCCTTTTCAGTCAATTTAGTCCAAGTAGGGACATTTTTCTTTTTACCTTTTTTTTTTTATATTATGAAATTGTTTAATTTAAAGCTTTCAAACTGTTATTTATAACACATTTCTGAAAGATTTAATTCTGGCAAAGGAACCTTTAGCTCTGCTAAGGTGAGTGGAAACAGCACCTGGCAGGTCAGAGCCATGAGTGTTATACTCTACTTCAGAACAACTTGGATCGCTGAGAGGTGGGGAGGAGGTGGACGCCCACATCACTTGCATCTGCTATTTCAAAGGTCATTTCTCTGAAGGATCCACTTTTTTTTTTTCCTTTTAATATCCATTTGCAAAGAACAAATCAGTCTAGACAGCCAAGTGATAGCGGGACAGTAAGCCATTGTATTTGAAATAAACTGAATTCCAATACAGGAATTCTATTGTATGCTCTTCTGACATGCCTAGTGAATTAATTATGATGGTACTTCTTTCTTTTTAATTATATCTGTCTATACTTCTCTCATTATCTTCAGAAGCAATTGTCCATCTTGCTTTCTAGTTTGATGACAAGAAGATAAGCAGTTGTGCCTGTTCAGGCTTTCTTATACATTCCCAAGGTCTGGTGGTCTGGGGCTTTTTTTTGTTTTGCATAGGTTTTTATTCATTTTAAAGGTGACCGTTTTAGCGGTCTTCCTCATTTCAGGCACTTTTAGTAATTTGTTTTATAAATTTGCCTTTCTTAGCTGTCTTGAATCACTCGCGCTGCATCCCCGTGCTCTCAGGCAGGGGCTCTGGGAGGGGGGAGCTGCGCGGAGCCGGTTTCCCGTCTGCTGGCGTCAGAGCTGCTCCCCGCCAGCTTGGACCTCGGCGCCCGCCCTGGAGTTGGGCTCCTGGTTCCAGGGGGTTGTTGCACAGGAGGGAACAAACTTCATTTAATGCGTTACAGCGAACCGATGCACGCTGTTCCTACAGTGGCTCTTCCTTCTATCCCAGAATATTGGGAATACTTGTGGCCTTTCCAGGACACTCAGTATTACTTCAAGTGGTTGCAATGCTGTAGTAAAGGGGTCTGTGAGGAAGGACAGTAGCTTTGTAGAATGTACATAGTCGCAATATGAATTTTGCATCCAGGCTAAAGACAAGGTCCCTAACTTCTTGTATTCTATTATTAAAAATGTTTCCTTAACATTAGACAGGTTTGCCATAGACATCTAACAGTCGTCTGCCTGGTAGAGTAAGCGTTGTCCTTGTTTTCATGTGCCAATATACACATTTTTGCATGTGTTCTTCCGTTCACATATATGCAGAAATAAATTTCAAATCTTTAGGTACTATGAAGATGGCACACTGCACTAAAAATGGCATAAATTGATTTATTATTTTTTCAGACACAAACTAGTTACACCTTAATGAACAGAAGGTGGTTGGAGAGAACTAAACTGAAGCTGTCGAGTTTGGACAAGGTTGTCCCAGTCTGTATGGTACAGCAGGAAAAAACGGGACTGTCACCAACCATGGCGTTGCGTGGAAATGTGTGCCACGGGATGTTATGAACTAGTCCAGTGTCAAAAATTTAACTGTGCTCTTCAACAAAACTAGTTGTACAATGTTTAACATTATTTGTCTACAGAGGCTATTATGGGGTAGACCTAGCTTCTCAACTTAATTTTGTCCATCTTTTTGGGTAGTTGGATAGTTTTTGTTTAACTCACCAATGTCAACCAAAGCCTGGATGGTTCTCTATGGTAGTGTAACAACATGGATTTGGTCAGAATATCGGTACCTTAAAGTATGAGTAAATGTATGTGCTTTTATAAATGTCTCTTTTGTAAACAGAACAAGGTAAAATGTGTGATTAATTGTTTCAATCAGCTGTATAGAGCTGCGGTCATATTTGATAATGTTTTCTACTGCTCCTTGGCATGCTTGCTGCCTGTCTCTCTCACTCTCTCTGCTGAGCCATGGTTGGGTTGTAAGATCTTCCAGGATTGTGTCCGTTACATATTTTCATGTTTTTACTGTGCCGCCTAATGTACATTCCAGGCTGTAGGCACAACAAAAAGTGCCAGAACTTCCAGACGGAGAGCAGGGGCAACCTATGGAGCCGGACAGGGTCAGGCTGGAGCTAAAGGAGATTGTTAGAGTCTGAATGTCTCAACTGCAATTGAGGCAGCTACATAATTTTTTCCATATCTGTCTGTAAAATGTAAATGTGCTAAAAAGAATAGCAGTGTAGCAACAACTGCTGTTTAGTCCAACAGAGATCCATATGGTGAGGTGACATAGAAGATACTTAGTCTTATGTTCGTAAGGTAAATTTAGGGAACAACTGTCTGTTGATCTTGATGGAGAAAACGAATGGTGATGAGCACCGATCTACAGACAGATGGTACCTATATGTACGGTTTTCCATATGCTGTTCTATAGGCGCATTGCAGCCAGTTACGGTTGTAAACTGGCTGGTATTGAATTCAACCCATGGCAAACCCCTCATCCTTTGGGAATGCCATTTCATGCTTTGCTGTTGCTCGAGAGCTCCCACGTTTTTAGAGAGGATGTTAATTATCCTGGGTAACCATAGAATGGTCACATACAGGTGTGAATGGCGTTGTTGCAGGAGCACAGTCAGAAGAGCGTTGCCATTGCTACCACGGTGCGCTGGCGTGCTTTGGGCTGACTTTGCAGTGCCGCGGTCCTGCGGGCTCCTTGTCGGTTGTTGCAGGGACTTGCTGTGTGAACTGGAGCGTGGGGCGGGCGGGTGTTGTGTGGGCAGCAGGAAAGGCCTTGACAAGAGAGACAAGCTGAAAACAGAGGCCCCCAAACTGTAAGCGGCTCGTTGGTGGTCTGTTGCTGGTCACTGAGGCAGCACAGCCTCGAGAGCTGGAAAAGACTGCTTTAAGCATAATGGGGGGAAGAGCAGCGAGTAGCAGGGCAGGGCACCTGCTGCAGCCAGGGAAAGCTCCGTCCCCTCTGCCCGCCCCGCCGGA